AGGTCGATTTCTACAGTCCTGTTTCTCTTTCCTCCCTCAAATGCAGCTGACTTTGCCTGGGATTGGAGAATGGGGTTCTTATCTTTACCAGCATAGTACTAGTTATCACAAATACTTATCACTTTTATAGGAACTTGCTAGTAGTGCTAGGAATGGGTTGAAATTTCTCTCTGATAATTTGTTCATCGATTATCATCACTAATGAGCAATCATTGAGAAAAATTGGTTTGCATCACTTTTTCACCTTCCTGTTCAGGTTGTTATTGCAGCTAAGTGTAAAGAAAAAAAAATGTTGTTATCTCTTGTATTTTGTTATTGTTATATTTAGAAACTGCACAACTTGCATTTGCGAATTTCACATCCAATATATAAAGTTATGAAACTTGCTACTTTAAAGTAATGACTAATATATCATGAACATACACTTCCCAGTCTTCAAGAAGTGTTCAGTCAAGTGTTTCAAAAACATAAACAGTACTTTCAAAATTGTTCGTACTCTATTTTGAGAAAATTTGATCAATTGCTTGGTCGTTTGGTCATTGCTACAAATCTCTCATTATTTCAATTAATCGGAGCACCCGTATTTGCTAGCATTAAAGACATATGTTATCATATATCTTATTAAAGTGTACCAGTACCTTAACATCTACATTACACGTAACAACCCATGAGCAATAACAGATAGTGCCAGGAATATCTTAAAATATCTTGTTTTATCTATATACTTACCATGAAACTTGCCATAGCAGGTAGGTCATCTTCTGTTTCGCAATCCTCCTGCAATGGCCAGTGTATGTATTTTTAATTTTTTATTGTTAATTCTATACATTTATTTCAATAGGTGCCACACTCAGATATTATATATTAGTTTCACATGTCTAAGGGTTATAATTATTTCTTTTTCATAACTTTTATGCTGCTGAGTGTTCTGTTTAATGGCAAACATGCACACACACACACACACTTAACTTTCCTCAGAACTTCACATACATGTCTTATCATCATCATCATCATCATGAAGTAATAACATATTTTTGTAACACCATTTCTGATACATTACCGTGACTATAAAACTATTATTAGGAGCTACATCTGGAATCTAATGCAAAAGAAGTGGGACACCCAAGCTAGTATCACTAAATTACATGCAATTAAACCAGCTATCGGTTATGCCTAGTTGGGTTGTCAGTCCAGGTTTGAGGTCATATTAAGACAATTTCATATTGGCCATTCAGGATATACGCATGAATATCTATTAAAAGGCGACAATCCTACATGTTGTATCCCTTGTAATGAAAGAATCACAGTCCAACATGTCTTGCTTCACTGTATTCATTTTTCCATCCAATAGATTGCTATTTCAAATCATTAATTATGAAGCATCTTTAAACAGAGTACTGACTGACTGATTGAGTATGGTTTTACGCCGTTTTTAGCAATATTCCAGCAATATCACAGCGGGGGACACCAGAAATGGGCTTCACAAATTGTACCCATGTGGGGAATCGAACCCGGGCCTTCAGCGTGACGAGCGAATGCTTTAACCACTAGGCTACCCCACCGCCCCTTAAACAGAGTAAGTTGTCATTAAATATTTAATTTTTTTTTAAAGAAATTGAACTCCTACATAAATCTTGATGTACATATATAGATATCTCTTATAAAATAAACATTGGTAGTGCTAATAAGTAAATTAGATCATTAGTGGGGTTGAAGTAACGAAAAATAATTGTCCCCTAAAGCATGCATGTAATTTCCTCATTCTTCAAATGGTTTTTTGCACACCATACTTTTATACCTAGTCATTGTAGTAAAAACTTTAAATGCCAGTTTCAAAATTCTATCTATGATAACTTAGTTGTTTTACTGTCCTATGTCCACAAATTTTATGAAATAAGTGTATTTATTATTAATGTATACAATGTGACTGAAATATCTGAACTCCCCTGACTCACTAATAACATTATTTTTGATATTATTGCATAATACTTTTATTACTCATATGGTGAAACATAACCAGTGTCCTATATATTATATGGGCATCTGTGCACATATCACTTAACAATTGAACGTGATGTCAAGGATGTGTCATGTCACACTGGCATACTGTGTTTTACTGCACAAATGTGCAGGAATAAAATGTATAATAAAAAAATTATTACACTCAAGCAAGTGTGTCATACGACTCGTACAATACTCATGCAAAATTATGTATTACTACAAAATTTCACAATCATTTTGTATAAGTCGTATGACACACTTGCCCATGTAATAATCTCTATAACTAAAACAGTAACCTCTAAAACTGTCAATTATTTTGGGGTTACCTTTCATACACATTGGATTATTTTAAAGAACACCTGATTTTTATCCAACTTTTCTTTAAAGGTCACATGCAACCAAAAAATCAAACATAATTAAAACACAATTATCACTTCTTCATGACATATAATATGCATTGCTGATTATGAAAAAACAAATAAACAAAATTATAAGCGTATAATCGCAGATCAAAAGTGCAATATTTTGTACTTGGGTTTACCTCCCTCGAAACGAAGCAGCCCGGGATACCGAACCCAGTCAGAGCGGGTGGGTGTGCACTCAAGTGTAACGGCTGGTTCATTAGCAGATACCGCCTTCACAGCTCATTGTGTGTGTATATATAGAGATGTTGGGTTTTGTAAATACATGCTCATTTTTTGTGTATAACATTTTGCAATCAACAGACATCATAACATGTCATGTGTTCAAGTATCACACCTGCCTGTCTGTGTAATTACATAATGTGACAGAGACCAAACTCGGGCCATAAATCAATGCATTTTGTTTATGGTGTATAGCCTGATTGGTGTTAAGTTCAAATTGCATGTGGTCAGTGATCGCAGTTGTGTATTGATTATTGTCATTAGCGGACAGGCAGGCAGGCAGACAGGTGTCAATAAAACAAGACATTGAGTTTTGTCTGTGACAGCGACATATCTATATCACAGTTAGAAATTGTGTCAGCAGCTAAATAATGACATTGCTTTTAAGTATCGAACTGAGAAAGTGACTTCGGTAAGAAGAACTCGTTCGTGGTGAAATAGACAAATGAAATTATATAAACAGTTTATTTACTGTCATAACATATAAAAGCTCAGCCTGTGAGATATCAACAAAACATTATAAAATGGCTCACACCAAACCCTTCACCGGTATTCACCAGACAGCCCGGCTTCCAAGTTGGCGCTGAACCTATTTCACTGCGCGCGTGCTATGGCCTTAGCCAGCTGTTGAAACCGGTATTCCCCAGAAAAGTCTGGGGAAAATTAGTGAAACGTTTGAACTCCGATTTCGCGCGGTTTTTTTCATCGCGTTATTTTTCAACTTTATAAGTTGAATTTGCATTTTTGACGCTTTGTTTCGGTAAGTCCATACCGAAAGGTATCAGAATCTGCAAAGTTGTGTTTTACGTTGCATGTGACCTTTAAGGAATTTAACATTTTTTGTACTTTGCAAGTATGTGTACTTTACCTACCTCTGTGGTTTTGTTGTACTCTGATTTCCTCTTTCTTCCTTCAAGTGCTGGTGCTGACTTTGCCTAGTATGAGAGAATGGAAGTTCTATCTCTACCAGCATGGTATGACAAAGATTTATGAATTCATAGGTACCGGTACTTGCAGGTATTGACCAGTTAAGTTATCAGATATTTTAAGAAGATCTACCTTTAGTGTAAGATATGGATTCTACCAACAATACCAGGCAGTGCCAAGAATGTTTTAACACATCTTGTTTTCTCTATATACTTACCGTGAAACTTGCCACAGCAGGTAGGTCATCTTCTGTTTTGCCATCCTCCTGCAAGTGGTTAATGTCACCTAGTACATGTGTTTTTTTAATTTTTTATTGTTAATTCTATACATTGATTTCAAAGAAGCCATTTTCTAATATTTTATGTTAGGTTCACATGTCTAAGGGTCATAATTATAACCTTTTAGCTTTTAACACAAGTGCTTTCTACCAGAATGATGTTTAGTTCATAAATGTCATTATGAAGCTGTACCCCACTGACATTTTTGTTCCAAACTAAACCCAACTTGATTAGGAAAATCTCTGTCAGTCTCTTGTTAAGTTTACCTGGTGACATCTGTAACAAGACCAGCAAAAGAACAATGAAATATTATTGTATATATATTTCAGTATATTTTGTGATTCATACTACTGTCAATAGTCCATTTTAACTACTTTTATGCACCACAGTTTTATGATTTTACATTTCTGTACAGTTTGCAAATGCACAAATGTTTATTACTTTCCTGTTAAATGTATTTTTGCTTTGTATTCACTCAAAACATTTTTCTGTTTATAGATCTACATCTAATTTTTAAAGTTCATTACAAATTTGGCTCCTCAGTAATAAAACTCATGTCTGATTCCCTAATTTGACTTGTACCATATCTTATACATCTTATGCACTATACACACATCTTATCTCAGCCAGATGGTATTGTTACTCTTTGATAGTTAATACATGTAAACATTTGATGCTTTAACTTAGAACTAATGGGTATGGATATAATTGGTTCCTAGGAACCTGTGCTTGTTGTGAGTAAGTGAATTATGTGGACAGTCTCAGTGACTAGGTTAATAGCATTATCATGTATGAAAAAGGTATGTATTGTTTCTCATTAAATCAGGCTCAAGTACTGGTATATATACATACAATCTGAATATATCTGAGTGTGGTGTTAATTGACAAACATATACACATGCACAACTATCTTACCTCAGCTGTTGAAAGACAAGCTTTATCATCTTCTGACACATATACTGCTTGCTGGAAGTAATAACATTTTTTTGTTATGATATATAAATCCTTAAAGGATACCTGAAACCTTACATAAAAATTCTGTTGTTTTAAGATACACCTGGTTTTTAAGGGTCTAAATCCAAATTTTCTGGAAAGAAAGTAATATCACTTTTTGTACATTCCAAGTATGTACACTTTACATACCTGTGGTTGTGGTGTCCTCATCGGATTCTCTTTTTAAGTCTATTGTTTCTGTCCATTTCCTCTTTCCTCCCACAAATGCAGCTGCTGTGTTTGTCTAGTATGAGAGGTTAATATCTTTATACATGTTATTACAGATTCATCACTTCACATGTACTTTCCCATATTACCGAGGCATGACAACAGATATTTTAATGACATGTACCCAAAAATGAACATAGTAATTAGATTCAACAATAAATATACGAATCATATATTTTTAATCATTTGTTTTCATTGTTTACACTTACCATGACACTTGCCATATTTGGTTGGTCAAACACAGATTGTCCATGCTCCTGCAAGTGGTGAGTATTGTTTAAAAAGCAAGTGGTCAGTGATCACCATAATTCTAAAGTAACATTAAAGGATCAGAGGCCCTATTCTCCAAATGTTCGTAGCCCTAAGAAATCTTAACTTTGATCGTAGCCAACGTGTTAAGAGTGGGCTTAAGAAGTTCGTAGGGCTACAAACATTTGGAGAATAGCTAGCCGGTTTAGTAACAGAAAGCAGACAGCTTATTATAATCAGCTGAAACAGAATATTCCTTCTGTTTCTCTTTATTGTGCTTGTTTTTTAAAAAACTGCTTATTCTTCTAAAGGGTTACCTTATTGACAGCTTTTCTAGAAATACTTGAAAGCCTTTTAGCCCTCTCTGCAAGTAAAACTGTAAAAGTGTATTACTTGTACATTTAATTTCTAGAAGCAATACATACTTCTTATAATCATTAATGCGCTTTGAGAAATAGTGCATAGGCATAAACTCTTTTATATTTTCTATCACTTTATTTCTTTTTGAAAGGTACAAGGCCCGGGTTCGATTCCCCACATGGGTACAATATGTGAAGCCCATTTCTGGTGTCCCCCGCCGTGATTTTGCTGGAATATTGCTAAAAACGGCGTAAAACCATACTCAGTCAGTCCATATCAACAAGTTTAATGCCTTTTGACATTTTTATTTTCCCTTAACATTTTAGCTAGAATTTCTGCACAATAATTAAGGCGATCACCCTGTCTACATGCTCTTGTTAAGTTAAAGAAGTCTGAGGAGAAACCGTTAAAAAGAACACTTGATTTGATATCGTTATAGAAAGTTTTTATCCATTTTGTAATTGAAGGTCCAAAGTTGAAAAATTCTAAATTTCAATTTACTTATTTTTTTTATGATCATATGTTTATCATGATGCTCGTTTGTTTCGTCCAGTTTAGTTTCTAGCGTTTCAAGTTTTTCATTTATTTCGTTCTCTCTATTTAATCAATTTCAGTATTTTATCGTGAAGCCTCGAATAATACAAAGTAACACCTTATAGAATGGTTGATCGCTGATTGTTAAATTTTTTCCCCACATCTGTGTTTAATATGCTATCTTGATCAAATGTTTCTTGAATTATTGTTTTGATTTCTTTGAAATACTCTGGGTCGTACAGTAAACTGTTGTTGAACTTGAACCTATTCCCCTTTCCAATTTTGAATATTCCATTTCCATGGTAATCATTGAATGGTCTGATCTGTAACCTGTGACTATGTCAGTGACAATAATTGATTTTTCTAGATTTCTACTAACTAGGAAGTAGTCTTATCTGGTTTGTTTCATAAGTTTTGATTTTCTCCAAGTATACCTTTTCTTCTTTAAGTTAGCTTCTCTCCACGGGTCATAAAGGTTTAGTTTCATCTGACATTTCAAGAAAAAACCTCTCATGCTTTTGGATTGTTTATGTGTTTATAGTTATAGGTATCGAGTGCATGGTTAAAATCTCCACAAATTATATTTGTTTCTGAATTTAGTTTATACAATAGTCTCTTAATATTTTTATAAAACCCTGGAGTGTCTGTATTTGGTGCATAGATATCAGTCATACTAAACTCTTCTTAAATTATTTTGATCTTAAGAATGATGAAGTTACCATTTTCTGTATCATAAATCTCCTCTATAACTTGAAAGACAAAATTGTTATCAAAAACATTTCCACACCTCTTTTCGGTTTTTTTTTGGCACGCCTCTTGATCGTCACTGAATAGAAAAAGTACAACAAACATCTGCTCTCCATTCATTTTCAACTTTTTGCTCTGTGTCCTTCATAAAATGAGTGTCCTGAATACAATAGATATTTCCCCTTCTTTTCTTTAAATTTTCAAAAGCATCCAGTCTCTTTTTATCATTATTCAATCCTTGGCAGTTTGAAGAGAATATCCTTAATCTATCCATTTTGGGGTGAAAAGATCTTTTGTATGACAAGAGTCATAACAACGTCAGAACAAAGTGATTCCACATGGAAAATGAAAACAAATAATTTCTGGAATGGTATTATCCATACGTAAGTACACCTTCAATGTCTGTATATAGAATGCATGGACGTAGAACACATGGTTTGATGCACATGCTTTTCATCGCTCGCAATGTACACAATGTACATTGATGATGCTAGTTTGTGAACACAGTAAAGGATGTTTTTTTGTTGGCTATTAAATGCACCAAAATATTCAAAAGAGTTAGTTGTGAAGTAGGGTGTTATATTTAATGATAGCCATCAACTTTAAATAAGTGTACCAAGACGTTTTTTAACTGTTTAACTCTTTTATATTACTTTTCTGATATTTGAATAATCATTCAGTGTTTTCATTTACCACAATACTTACGCATTGTATGTTTTTTCTTGTTCAGCAAATACTTTTTGTGTAGTTTGGACTTCAGGAAGTTTAAAGCTGCTCTTGGCATCTGCCTGTGTTTTCTCCTTTTCCTAAAACAGTTTCTGTTTTGAACAGTTTTCTTTATCATTTCTAGGGACTGGTTGGCCTCTGTCACTGTTTCCGGGCAGTTGCACCTTGTCAGCAGATCCCTCAGCTCACACAGCAACCTCACACTTGATTGTTTCCCTTGGGCAGTGTCAATATCATCTGTATGAGCCTTCAGTGATGTGCCACTGCACTCTGCACCACTCATGTTGCTAGGTGATAGACAATCTTCTGAAGAGACTTTTGGAAACTTGACATTAATACCTGTTGGCAGTGAGGTCCTACAATCCTTGCTGACATGTAAAATTGGAGTGTCTCTGTATTGCTTGGGTAACGCTTCCCAGGGTAGGTTGTTGTGATATAATGTGGCCAGAATACGCTTACATGGAAAAAAATGTCTTCTATAGTCTTGGCAAGAACAGAGATCTTTGGTACCCCTATTTAAAACAACATTGTAATTGTTCACTAGGTAATTTAATTCACCTTTGTGGATAGATTCTGTTTGCATCACCTCATTCAGTTTCCTTCTGCAGTGTTCAAAGCATGTCCACCCCCTCCCAGTCAAAAACCCTGGGACAGAATCCTTCAGTGCCATCTTCATTCTGTCGTTCTTTTCGTAGTAACTGCAATCACATTGTTTATTTCCAGAATATATATCAGTGTTGTATATAGTTAACAGTAACTAACAGTAACCTGCTTTACATTTTACTAAATTTTGTCAGTAGTGCATATAGTAAATACTTGCTTGTATTTTAATAACATAATTTGAGGGTATTTACACCATGCACATGTGTCTAGTATATAGTTTGCTCCAGAGAATAGTATTGGCATTAAAGGTATTATGCAAAGTAGTATATACAAAATGTGGCAATTCACTGTCAAAAGGGTAATGACTCTTGTCATTAGTATGATATACAGACATTTCATTTTACATTTGCTGTAACACACTTGCATATATTGCAGTGGGTTACCTTTTTGGAATACATGATAAATTCATATTTTCAACCACAACTGTATGCTCATTACTCTTATCTGTTTGTGAGAACTTAATAGTTTCTATTTATATTTGTCATCTGTTTACATTCTCAAAACAAAAGCATTTCACAATTGGCCACATATATACTAGCCACATAAAGAAACTGTGCACACAGAAAATTCCTTCAGAATTGGAATACAACACAGAAAAGACGACATGATGTAGACACTTTATAAGCTGAAGTATCGGGCCTCAACAACATGTCAAAAGAACATGAACAATATCCGTAACGATGACGCCAGAAGTTCAAAATTGAGTCGGGGGTCACACGTCGAAGTCACAAAGTCAATAACGGGTATGACCATCATGCGCGTGAAGCACAGCAGTGCATCGACGACACATAGAGGCTACCAAATTTTCCAAATGAAGGCCTGGGGAATGGTTTGGGACATGGTCACTGCCGTCTGGAACCTATGTCTGATATGAGTCACCCGAATCCATCTGTCCTGTCTTGGCGTCGTTACCCGGGGACGCCCAGAACGTGGGTGGTCGGCGACGTCATTACTGTTTCCCTAACGCCTGACCAATGCAGATATCGTGTTACGATGGCATTGGAAATGTGCTGCCACCTGTTGTTGGCTCATGCCTGCTCGAACCGTTCCAATGGCTTCATGACGCTGAGCACATGTTAATCTTGGCATTATGCGCATGTGACTTTTCATGTGAATTTGTGAACGTTTGAATGACCAAAGATCAAGCTTTCGACAGTGACAGCAATTTCTGAGTTTCACATGTTGTGTGCAGCAACACATTGCACGTCCATAGGCCACCATCAATGACGTCACATCGCCTGGCACCTGCATGAGCGTTTGATTGTCTCCAATACTTGCTATGTTCACACCGTTATTTATGCATAAAGACGCTGTCTGCCTATCTTTATATTTTCTGTGTGCACAGTTTCTTTATGTGGCCAGTATATATTCCTTTTCCAAAGGTTACAGTGAATCAATCCATCAAGTAATATTCTGTAATACTTTCTTTTAGCCCACTGTTAATATGAACTAGCATATAACAGTGCAGAAAGAATGAAACATGCATTTTCAGCGTAGGCTTACATGGATGCACACATAATATTGGCAAACCATATTTTTAGGACCTACAGTTAACCATTACCAAATTAAATAAAAAATCTGATTTACCTGTTCTTGTGGTGTTTTATTAGAAGTGCAATCAGCCCTGTTATGCTCATGTCTGTAGAATGCTTCTGCTCACTTTTAAACAGAGAATGTAGCCTCTCAACTCCATTGTTTGTTGTTAGTCCCACATGTTGATCAAAAGGTCTGAAGGCAATGGCCCATGGCTGGAATTGTAATATCATATATAGTATCACATACAAGCAAGTTTCATATGTGTATGTTAAATATTTCCACACAAAAGAATTTAACTGTTATTGTACAAAGACATTGATATAGAAAATAACATTAGCACCTTACTGTTGACTGAAACACTTCATCACAAACTTAGAAACATTTTGTAAGAACTGGTCCTGACTCAATTATTATTACCGACTCAACATAGCTAGAGTATTGCTGTGTGCAGTGTAAAACTAAACTCACTCACTCACTCACTAATGACATATTCAAATATGCTTATGTTTACACATGCATACATTCTGGATAAAAGTCATATTTTGCATGCAGTATGTGATTATGTGAATCCATGTACCATTCACATAACTCACTGCAAACACTTTGTATCATTTTACCCAATTTATGTTTGTAGTCAGTACATTGCATATTTTTTCATATACCTTAGGTGAGCATAACCAGAAGTTATCCATATATTCCATGAAGTTCGTGTAGTGCCCCCACGTATTTCTGAGTTCCTCAACTTTACTGCCATAGTCAGACTCTTCCAGGCAGCACATGATGTTGGACAAGCTGTATAAAACCAATAATAACAATTCAATATCCATGTAAGTTACGCTGGAAACAGTTAGGAACACACATGGAAGGAAACCATAGGTTGTACATAAAGATAAAAAGTATGTTTAAATGTTTGAAATTTTTTCGATATCATGTATCAGTAATTATCTTGGAAAATATGTACCAGTTATTATTTTTCCCCAATTTATGATTACTGGGTCATGTTTTTGATAAGTGGCCTTATGAACACACCATATTATTGGAAAATTTACACATACATGCTCTTATGACCATAAGTGGCAAAGTCGTCAGTCATCAGAAAATTTAAAAGCTGGAACTTACACATAAAATAATTTCATTATAATCAAACAAAAGCTGAATATCTTGTATGCTTGTACTGAACATAGCTGATCTTCAAGAAGTGAGGTTTAAAACAAAGCATTAGGAGTTACGTATATGTCAGCTATATAAAAATTCTGGAATATGCTTCCATTACATAATAGACCATTACCAAATTCCAGAACTTGCTACATGGAAGGACATATACTGGGATATTATTTTACGTAACTGATTTTGTTGAATTATTCATTGTCTCATTCTTAGATGAAGTGATCTAACACCAATCAGTGTTAGACATATTTTGGATGCTAAAATGTGTTCCTGTGTACATCATACCATTCATGCTCAGCATTTCTTCTTTATGTTTACAATGTTTACAAATAATCTTAATCTTCCAATTAAACAGTGCTGTATGAAACTTGTATTTGATGAAAGGAGATAAATTACAAATGTTAGGTTCTGTTCAAATCTCTGATCTAAAACTGGCAGATTTTCATTTAAGTAAATAACTTTATTCATAGCATATGAACAGCAAATATACTTCTCTCCTACACACATCTAACTAGCCATCAATTATAGTCTACCTTCACTTATGTTTTCATTACATCATGCATTTTGTGTACTGAAGCAGTATTAACATATAACCCCCTTGATTACCAATACAAATATGCTTATGTTTTTCTGTTTATAACTTCCCTTCTTCTGTTTAGTTATTACACATTCTGGATGTATGTTTTATTCTTAAGATAGTGTGTTTGAAGATTATCCATTATATAATTTCTGTTACACAGAATGCAGCACAAGAACATACTCTGACATCATCGCTTCCTCATCTGTCTTTGATGGTATCCTCTGTAGCCATCTTTTCCAGGCTTGCTTTACATGGAAATGGCAGATGTAAAATCTGCATTCTGAAAACAGAAATGTGCCGTCTCAGTCAATGTCATGAAATCTTAATCTCCACTGTTAAAAGGCTTTTTTTCAGAAATTGATGAATGGCAAAGTAAACAAAACCTTATATATTGTACTCTACATTGAAGTTTATTCTTGATCAATAATAATTTACTCACACAACAGAGAGAGAGAGAGAGAGACTCAATATTTCAAGATAGGAAGTAACAGGAGTTTAGTCGGAAATTTGAACACAGATAGTTAAATGAAGAGAATTATATTTTAAATAAACCGATTGAGAGAGAGTGAGAAAGATAGTAAGTTTGCGAGCATGTGCATAGGTGTGTTATTAAGAACAACAATTACCTGGAAAAATCTTCTGTATGACGTTTTTCTCCCTCTGGTCGTCATCAATTATAAAAACTTCAGGCTTCCACTCCTTGTGAAAAGAAGAAAATTTCTCCATCCCCTCCTGCAGACTATCCGTGGTCTGATCTTCCGTCACAATAAAACCCACGGGAACATACACCGAATTTGTGCGTACTGCCAGTTGATACAGAGGAAGGTTGTACTTGTTAGTCTTGTAGGTTGCATCCAATAAAACAGCACTGCCAAACTGTTCAAGCATTGTCCTTTGCTACTGTGTTGACATGACCAGTAAAAAGGTGTCACCTGAAGTGTCACTGAAATTGATAACAAGAACTTTTCTAAGCAAATACCATTATCTTTATGTAGGTCATTTAAACAAAGGCTGAATGTTACCGGTGTTAGTGCACATTGGAATAAAGATTGAAGTAATGATATCCTAATCCACTAAACAATATAAGGTTTCAGTACATTAGCAGGGGCGGATACAGCTTTTTTGAGAAAGGAGGGGTGCACACTATTGAGAAGGGTGGGGTGCACACTTCATTTTCACGAGAGT